GCCGAGGAGAAGGCGATGGCCAGCCTGAGTGTGGCTCGTGAGTCCGACAGGAACGCGCTCACCGACGTTCGCATCAACAGCTACGGCATCCAGAACACGAAGATCGGCGGCGTGCAGGCGCGTGCGCGTCAGGCGCAGGATCAGGGAGGCCCGGCAGCAGCAGCTGCTGCTGATGGTGATAGGCAGCCACCACACGGACCACAGGACGGCACATCGGCACCACCTGACAGCGACAGCAAGAAGAAAGGGAGGCGTCGGGACACGCGTCACCGGCAGGCGCTGCGGATCTCCTATACCGAGATGCTGTGGCAGCTGCACGACTTTCCCTATGTGACCTCTTCGGTCGACTGCATCCATGTCGCATCCCTGCCTCCGGAGCTGAGGTGCGGCTGGAAGGCCTAGAATCTCGGCCTCTCGGTGGACAGCGTTCAGAACGCGCCGCCACAGCCTCACCCGGGCAACCCGCAAGGCTTCCGTTCGGGCACGCAGGCGGTGCCAGTAGAGGCGAGGCGGAGGGTTCTTCCCAACGCATTATGGCGGCAGTTCACAGAGGGTCAGCACAGGGTTATTAATGATCTGTTTGTGACGAGGAAGCCCTTGGACAAGGTCAGCGTCTTCGGCATCCACCCGCCAGAGCTCCACTGGATCGATTCCATTGAGGAGTACTTCAAGTGAGTGAGGGAGCGGGATACACGTTGTGGGTCGGTCATGTATGAATGGATGGATGGATGGATAGATGTGATAGACGGATGGATGGATGGATGGATGGGTGTGTTTTTCTGTGTGCGTGGTGCAGGTGGATGGTGCTCTCGCAGCGTCCGCCGGCTGCGCGTCGCAATCGGGACGACGTCTCTGAGGACCTCACCGTCACACCTTTGACCGACGGCGGGCTGCAGACCGTGAAGTTTCGGCAGCGGTACTTGACGGAGGCGGTGGAGGCGTGTCGACAGGGCTGTGGCTCAAGTGGCGTGTACGCGTCTCACGCTGCCATGGTCGGTTTTCTCGAGCGTCTGCAGCAAGCGGTGGTCAACAGGCACGGCGAGGCCCTAGTGCAGCGGTTCGTGGAGTCGCGACCGAAGCACAATGCCAAAGAGGTGGTCATTGTGTTCTCCGCCGTCAAGCCGGACAGCCCCCACAAGTTCTTCATTCACCTGCTGTACCGGTTCGGTCGATTCATCTGTGACATGGACCTCTTCACGGTGTCGTCGCTATGTGAGAGCTTCTCGCGTGCGGGGTTACTGAACGAGCACCCCGATGACGACTCGGCAGCTACGGCGAGAGATGCGGACCGGCTGCTGCGCCTCTGGGCGAGGCGGGAGCTCTTCAATGGGTCATACACGACCAAAGCTTTTGGCACCGCTCTGGAGCGCGCACATGAGTACATTCACGACGTCTTCTTTGGGCGCATGTTCCACGTCGGTGGCGTCCCACTGGTAGACATGGCGTCCATGGCATGGGAGCTGACGGAGCAGGTGACGGCCGCGTGGGCGGAGCGTCGCAAGCGGCTGGCCGAGACACTCGTGGGGTGCGTAAACATCTCCGCTGCGCAGAGAGGGCCATTGGTGGAGGAGCTGAAGAGGTCGACATTGAGACAGCCCTACCTACCCTTATCGGCCGGGGCCCAGCCGCAGGGTACAGGGCCACCTGCTTGGGAGCCC